CTTAATTATATTTAGAGGTTCATTCTATGCTTTGACAATGNTTTGTGTGGTATTTTGGCAGAATATTTGTGAACATTATATGCTGTGTTTTGATTATTTTTTTAGCCTACCATGATTAGATGGTGGACTATTCAAATTGCCCTGCGTCTGTCGTCTGTCCATCCGTCAGTAAACAATCCTTGTTATCGCTATTTCTTGAAAAGTACTGGAGTAATATTTCTCAAACATCACATGCAGGTTCCTCTTTGTCCCTAGTTGTGCCCATTCAATTTTAAGTTTGATCGGGGAAAACAAATTGGCCGAAAGGCGGCCATCTTGGATTTTGACAATTGAAGATGGTTATCACTATTTCTTGAAAAGTACTGGAGGAATATTTCTCAAACTTCACATGTAGGTGTCCCTTTGTCTTAAGTTGTGCCCATTGAATTTTGAGTCTGATCCGGAAAATGAAATGGCCGACAAGCCATCTTGGTTTTTGTTGGTTTATNGTAAAGGAGGCAGGATAGCTCATTTCGGCCTATGGGTTCTCATGGCATAGCGTTTAGTGATAAAAATTGGCGAGTGTAAACCAAGTTAAAGACATGCGCTATATAATGTCTAGGGCTTTGTGCCATTATACTTGCAAAACATCGTGTCGTCAACATGTCACTGGAATCCATTGTCACGTACCTTCAAATCGTACTAACAAAACACTTCCTCTAATTAACTCTCATCAGACACCAGGGTTCGAATTTAACCAGATTTTCTACTTGCATTTCTACTGGTATTTTTTCTTACTTGCTAAATGAGAAAACAACTTGCAATTTGCATTTTTCCAACTTTATTAGACATGTTAACTTAGAATTAAATTCTAAAACAACACAGTATTAACTGACATTTTAAATTATGGTCATTGGGATGTATACATGAAGCAAACCTTGCTGTGAAAGGATGCTGGCCTGCTCAGGCTATTCTAAGATATAGTATAAAAACTGCATCTTAGTTTCTTGCTCCATATGGTAGAGTATCTGGTCTTTTCTGTCTTTGTCCCGACAACCACCATCTTGTCACAGCAGGTTTTGGGTCATACTCTCTAAGGGCAATATCAGCAACTTGTCCATTTGTTATTTTGCCGGTGCAGTGAGTTGTGAAATTTAACCTTGGGAAACCCCAATACAACCACGTGACTAGTTAAGCCTATCGTATTTGCGCTATAAATAGTAACTAAAAATAGATTAACGAAAAACATCATGCATGCGGTAAACGTCATCATTATTTGTGCAGGTACTTCCTAACGGACATGCACACGGGACATGTATCGATGTAAACTTCCGTTAATGACAAAAGCTGAATCATTCATTTGGTGAATGACAAGAATGCGCTCAAATGACCGCGAGTTGTCAAAGAAAGAATTTGTAAAGACCGACCATTAGAAATGAGGATTATTCAGCCCAAAATTTTCACTCGCAAAAAAATGCTGGTGTCTGAAATCTCTACTCGCAGTTTGCAATTTGCATTCGCTTTTCACGAGTATGCGAGCTTAAATTCGAACCCTGTCAGACACTAATAAAACACTGATACCAAACAATATTTTTTTANTTGTGCAGGTACTTCCTAACGGACATGCGCACGGGACATGTATCGATTGTAAACTTCCGTTAATGACAAAAGCTGAATCATTCATTTGGCGAATGACAAGAATGCGCTCAAATGACCGCGAGTTGTCAAAGAAAGAATTTGTAAAGACCACCCATTAGAAATGAGGATTATTCAGCCCAAAATTTTCACTTGCAAAAAAATGCTGGTGTCTGAAATCTCTACTCGCAGTTTGCAATTTGCACTCGCTTTTCACGAGTATGCAAGCTTAAATTCGAACCCTGTCAGACACTAATAAAACACCGATACCAAACAATATTTTTTTACTGTTTGTTTTTCTGCATATGTATCAAGTGTATCACCTTATGAACAATGACAGTTGGTTTTCACTGAAATTAGTATACATAAAGACATTAATTAATAATTATAAAAGGGAAATCTCTCACTGTTAGCAATCAGGACATTGTGGGTATACTACAGTAAGCTTAGCTCTGCATATTTATTGTTAATGACCACAAGGAATTTGAGTTTTGGGATTTTGTATGTCACCCCTTTTTCGTATTTCTGAATTGACTTTGAGTTATCAAATAACATCTGCCACACCCACAACAAAATCTGATGCTTAAGACAGGTGTTTACGTACTCTCTGTCAGCTTTGTCTCAGTCATTATAAGTTCATGTTTACAAATGAACTATCTCGTTAATTTTCCAAATTCAAGTGATGTTATCACCGCTAAATTTGACTGGGTTTTCCATATAAATTTAGTGGGCAAACTGGACATTGGAAATCGACTGAATATTGGGATAGCATAGAAACATAAATGGAAGTGTATAAAACACATAAAATCAATGAAAAATATAACGCTTTTACTGTGATGTCCCTTTAATTACCATGACATGAAATTGTATTTGCTTGAATGGCATTATGGTTAAACTGAAATTTGAAAGAGTGATTGCCCTTTATTGTTTTCATAATCTCTTTCAAACTCAGTAAGCTTATGAGGAAACTGACTGTTTATGACATGAAATTGTGTTTTACTGAATGGCATTTAGATTCAGCAATGTTTGGAAGAGTTAATTATAGCCCTTTGGTTAATTTTCAGCATACTAATCTTGTCCAGGGAATTCTTGACTGATTTTTCTAAAATTTGGTATTCTGTGTTATCATCAAGCATAATCAATGTTTTCCCCTGTTGCATTTTGACTTTACAATTTTGTTGGTTGAATTTAGCTCTAACTTGTCAGAAATGTTCCTGAGATTGTCCCAACCAAGTGCTATTTTTTTATGTTAGACCAACCCCAAGATTGTAAAATATGTTTTAAATCTTTTCTAGTTCAACTAATCCATTGAACTGAAAATTGGTAGGGAAGCTAAGAACACATGCTGGCAAAGTGCCTGTTTTTTTACCCTTGGTGAAAAAGTTCAACAAATCAGCTATGCTGATAGTGGCCATTGTGTAACCTGATTACCGATCTTGGTTTCCCTGAACAAAACACATTTAAAGTTCCTCCAGTGTGATTTTGCCAGAACTTGTCAAGAATTAAGGATTCTCAGACAGTCCTGACCAAGTGTTGTTATTTTTTTAAGGTTGGTCCGAAATCCATTATGACCACCTGTATGATCTGGGAAAAAACATATTTTAAAATTCTTCTCCAGTTCTGCTGATGCCATCACAGGCTGAAACTTTGTGGGAATGTTGAGAAATCAATTCAAGGAAGTGTCTGATTTTTGTCACCTTTGAGTTTTAAAAATAATTTAATGGAAACTTCAGGACAACTAAATTGAAACATTGTTTCATGATTGCTTCCACTACACTATCGCTACATGTATTACAGTACTTTGGTCTTAATAGTTAAGTTAGATGACATCCTTAGGTCTACAGGCCTTTTGTTTTTATTCCTCCTGTTTGCTCTAATGTAACATATAATGCTCTAGCATCTTAATGTTTGTTTTTTTACAGATTCTGACTCTGATGTGCAAAGCAAGACTAAAATCATGGACAAAATGCTATCTGGCAATGATACTGATGTATCAGACGTGTATGATGAGTTGGAAACAGAACAAGGAAACGACAGTGATGGTAATCATGTTGTTGATCATAATCTTAAGTTTGGATACTTAGTTACTTCAAAATTATAGACAGTGTCCTTTTTATAAGCTCACCTGCCCGAAGGTCAGAAGCATCCTAATTTGGTTAAAAGCATCCTTAGGGGAAGGGGAACAAATTTTGTAT